AGCATACTAATCTACAAACATACGTTTAATAGTACCTTCCTATAGGGTAAAAGGAATTATCCCCAGAAAAAATAAGAACAACAGAATGTGTCATGACGTCATAATTACTTAAGTGTCTTTAAAATTTCTTAACACAGTTATGTATGACCACCAAGTGTAAACATGTAAAATGTAAATGTACCAGTTGGGGAATAAAATTCCTTTTAATTCACATTCACATCCACAGTATTCATCATCACCGTTAAATATCTTTGCTGGCTGTGTTCATATTTACTGCCTAATTTAGCCAATTATGATCTTAATTTAATAAGGGACGCGCTTAATAAAGCAAGCTGCGCTCGGAATTAATTAATGACGTCATCAAGTGTTAATTACGCATTTATTGACAGTGACGATGATGAATTGTACCCGATTAACCATGAAACGCAAATATACGAATGTCAAAAGAAAAAAATGTTGACGCAAGTCCTTTTCCCTTCCTGGAAGCAATTCAATTTCCAACTCATTCTTAAAAATGTAGACCAACGGTCAAACTTAATTTTGGTTTGTTATGCTATTTATAGTTCTTGTCGCATACTTTTAAATGTTAGTACTGTTCGTTTCAAGAAGTTAGAGATATGCCCCTTCCCTTTATCAGGGTGCGCCGTAGCATAATTCCAAATTCAATATTATTTGTCCGCGGAGCTCATTTCTCCACCGATCATCGAGCGAGAACTAGACAAAAGTGTACAGTACCATTTGCAGAATTATTTAAACTGCCTCATTAAAATTTAAAAATATGCTTTATTTAAAAGCATAGTTAGCCAAAAATAATAACAAGTGAATTAACTTAACGCTCTACACACTTATAAAACTTTTGCTTTGTTTTCCATTGTTAATTTATATACATTTTTGTTTTAAGAAATTGCTAAACATTTTTGTCTAGTACTGTACAGTTCTAGCCGATTTCCTAAGACTGCCCATTGAGAGGTCTGCTCGTTCAAGCTTGTTCCAACTATTTCTGTGTTGCTCACGTCTAGTGTGTATTCTTTCTATCTTCGCGCATATTTCTTCAAGGTCACAATTCTAACAAATTGAAATAGGCTGTATGTTGTTGAATTTGAAGGAAAGGAAAAAAATAACAAAACTGAATTAGTAAATGAATTTTTGAATTTATTTATCACTACAGATAACCTCAAATTAATGGTAACAAGCATAAAAAAATTTGGCACCTCACATTTACCGTAAGTACTTCTACACACAGCGATAGATGTACGACATGCGAATTTGCATGTAAAATTTCAAAATTCCGCTCCAATTTCTTACAGTGGAACAAATTTGAAACCACCTACACAAATCTATTTGAGATTTTTTAGACATCTTTTAGAAGTGAGTTAGTTTGAAATATTATTCTGAAAATTAATTTCTTGAATTCTTTTTTGCCCACTACACACTTCCTCAAATTAATGAGGAAAAAAATTTTTTTTTTGATTAGATTGTCTTCTTTCGAATCAAAAATCACTACAACTGCTGTGCTGTAACATACTGACCTAGACTAATGATTGATATGATATTGTATGAATTAACATAAACACCCTGTATCACACATAATTTAATATTACTAATAAACAGTACATAAGCAAAAAGATACAAAAGAATAACTATACCAGTTGAATGAGTGCGACGTTGCGGATCGCATGTCTTTACCAGGGCCGGATTGAATTTACGTGTACGTTCAATTACGTTTTTCCTCGAAAACGGTGAACTTTCAGGCAGAAACATTTACTTAATTTTCTTGTTCTATCACGTCCTACGACTTATTTCTGTTACATTCTGTATATGATGATGATAACTATAAAACGTTTCATGTTGTCGTAATTCATCAGTTGAACATAAAGTGAAGCTAACGTTAACCGTCCGTCCGTGGTCCGCAACACTTTTTGTGGTGTCCTGTGTCTCAATTAAATAGTTTCGAAAAGCGTCCGTGGAGTAGCTGGAAACTAACGTGTGCACGTGTTTCTGGCCATGGAATATTAAATTTTTGACTTGAAAGTCGAATGCTAATGTATTTTCGGCGATTTTACATATTTAACGTGCTCTAGGCAAATCTAAATTACTTTTCCGAAAGCGCAAACACACACACACACGCACGTGTGCATACGTCGGACAGTCCAATTTCGAATGTTACTCCTGCTTTATATAAACATTAGCATTTCATGTTGACTCTATTACTGCGCCTGGTAAAAACGGACGGGTAAATATTATACCCGTTTCTATCTTCAAACGCAAAACGTATCAGTCAAAAATTGGATTTTACTTTTGTGTGCGTGCAAGCTTTTGTGTACAGGGTGATTTTTAAAGGCATAACAAACGGTTAAGTTGGTTAGTCACATTTAGGAGACGGGTAAGTCCCAGAGGATTATAAACGAGACGTAGTAACCATACCAGAAAAGAGAGGCGCGGATAGGTGCGAGACATTTCGAACAATTAGCTTAACTTCCCATGCGTCAAAAATCTTAACTTGAATTGTACAAAGGAGGATGGAAAAAAGGGCGGAAGAACTATTACGGAAAAATCAATTTGGGTTTAGAAAAAATAGGGGAACGCGAGAGGCTATTCTAGCTTTACGTGTAACAATAGAGAAAACGATATAAAAAAGAAAAGTTCGTATATAGGATTTGTAGATTTAGAAAAAGCTTTTGACAATGTTAAAGGAGTCAAACAGGAATGTACTGTGCCACCGCTACTTTTTAATCTATACATCGAAAACATAAAACGCCCGGTGGCCCAAAAAGTACACAATTTGTCCATTACAGCAAAACTGCAAGTTTAATCGAAAAAATTTTCAAACGAAACTTGCTCTGTATTTTAATGTAAGATCGTCTGTATTATCTAAATTTAATTTACTTTACAGAGTGTTTGAAAATAGAAAAAAGATGATTTCGTTTAAATGTGAAATATGGTTCCAATCGAAAAAAGTTACAAGAAAAAGTTGTTCAGGATCGGAACCGAATCAAAACACATTTGAATATCGCCGCGATTTTTTTGTATTTGGTTTTTTCGATTGGGGTCATATTTCACATGGCTGTCATTTGAACGAAACCTTCTTCTTTCTATTTTTGATCACTTTGTGTAAGAAATCAAATTTGGATAATACAGACGAATGTGTATTAAAATAAGGAACAAATTTTGTTCGAAATATGTTTCGATAAAACTTCCAGTTTTGCCGCAATGAGCATTTTGCGTAGTTTTCGGGCTACCCTGTATATATCTGCAGAAGCGTTTATTTCCCACTAACAGCAGTTGTCGCCCTAATGAAAGCAGAAATTAGAACCCGATAGAAACATACAAAATTCGGGATGCAAATGCGTTCGCTCCGAGCAACCGTATCTCGGTTTTATTAACTAATGCACAGCTGTTAATTGGAATTATGCAACATATCCATTTGTATAACGAAGTGTAATGCAGCTACGAGCTATACGCGTTCCATGGAGCATAATGCACATAAAAGCGCTTACCAGAATACGAGGACTTCTTGCCAAATATTTTGACATGCTTCACTAAATAATAATTTTTATTTAATGAAAATCGCTTATTTTTATTATTATTAAAAGTGAAGGTAAATGTCTAGGTGATGGGCCCCACCCCCTGCAAGGGGTGGGTGCGGGTGGAATCGAAAGAGGAGGTCTCCCCTACCACTGTACCATAAGAAGTTCGTGGCGGTCTCACCCCCATAAAAAGTTATTGGGGTTAGATGGGGGTTGGGGTAGGGGGATTGGAAAGAGGGTAGGGGGGATCGAAAGAGGATGGTCGCCTGAGTAAAATCCCATAAAGAATTTGCGGCAGTCTCACCCCCATAATAAGTTATGGGGGTTCAANTGTAAGAAAACGGTTATTCATATAGAAATAACATGTACGGAAATACTTAAGCAGTCTTTAGTTTTTAGTCTTGGTTCAGCTCTCATTTTGTGAACAGCACATGTACTTATCAATTAAATTATCCTAAGTAAACTACTGTTTCCATTTTTTCATCGCAACTCTGACACAATTGCACGATGAGTCCAGCAGCGTGGTTAAAGGCAATTTTTTTTAGTGAAAATTACAATAATTTATAATCCAAAGCCGGTTCTGTGCGTGAATTGGCAACATATCTTTTGATCCCCCCTACCCCACCCCCATCTAACCCCCATAACTTTTTATAGGGGTGAGACCGCCACGAACTTTTTATGGTACAGTGGTGGAGGAGACCTCCTCTTTCGACCCCCACCCTCCCTTTGGGGTGGGGGCCATCATCTTTACCTTTACCAAAGTGAATATTATTACGTATCCCGTTATGTAACAGACTCATCTTTAAGGAATACTTTTCGTCCACAGGGTGTTCAAAATATATTGTTCTATTGACTAGATAGTCTACAACTATTAATTATGTACTTACAAAGTTAAGGAATTAATTTCCTATGTTTTAAAATAATAACTTTTTATCTGATAATATTTATCCAATAGAATTGTATCTACTATTCAACAAGATCATAGCAAGACATAAAATTGTCCCAATTTAACATATTTCAAATATTGCAACTTCAAAAGGATCGTATATATTTGACATTTATTTTATTTTCTTTTGAAGACATAAATTATTTTAATTGATATATTTACGACCAGTAATCTAGTTTACCCTTTAGAATTCGTATTCCACAAAATCCGTTCTTATTACGCCTCTATACAATAGTCCGAATATACTCTTAAAATTTTGTTCACATCGATCCAACAGTTTCGGCTGTGAATTGATTATTATATCATTAAATATAGAGATAAAAGAAATGTAAAAATAGTTTAAATTTTTTACATTATTATAGTACACAGTATAGATGTTTTAATCACTACTACACACTACACAAAACTGTTTTCGGAAAAGCATTACGAAATATTTTGTTATGCCATTGTAGCAAATAAGACAAAATCGGTAATTTCGAAAATAGACTTATTTTGTTTTTGAGTTTTTTTTTAATCGAAAAATCCACTTACTTGTCACTAAACGAATGGAACATGTGATGAGAGAACGTTGGTGGGTTGGGTTTCGGTGGCTCCGAAGAAGACGATGGTGCAGGGCTATGGGGAGAAGAAGTCGTGGAGGGTGTTGGCTCTGGAACGCTACGTTCCCGCTCAGGGGATTCCCTAATGCCACTTCCTCGACTAGAGCACTCTCGCACTGAATCATCTTCGGGAGCATTGAGTTCTGAGGGAGTACTCACCCTGGTCACCTCGTCGCCCTAAATTTAAAATAAACCAGCACATGAGCAATATTTCTCTCCCTCTACTAACATCTTCTGTTCTAGTACGGCCTTCCTATCGTATCGCCTTTAACAAGTGCAAGGGATGATACTAAAATATCTAGCTATAGCAAAATATCGCCATCTACTGATATACACTGTTAACCTAATTTTTTTTGTAAATTACACAATTCCTTACTAAGGTACCTCCTTAAGTGACAATAACAAAACATCTAGTTATGATAAAATATCACCATCTACTGATAACCACTGTTGACTGAATTGAGGCCTTTTTAAGGTATTTCCTTTAACAAGAGACAATAATAGAGCATCTAGTTAAGGCAAAATATTGTCATCGGCTGACATATTTTGTTAACTGAAGTGTTTCATATGTTATACAAGGGTCTTACTATTAAGGTATATCGTTTAAAGAGTGACAATAATAAAACATCTAGGTAGGGCAAAATATCGTCATCTCTTGATATCTACTGTTGACTGAAATTTTTCATATGTTATACAAGGGGTTAACAAGTGACAATAACAAAACATCTAGTTATGGTAAAATATCATCATCTACTGATATCTATCTATTGCTAACTGATGTGTTTCATGTGTTACATATTGGACTTTACTAAGGTACCTCTTCTAACAAGTGAGAATTAACAAGTGGCTGTAATGATACATTTAGTTATGGTAAAATATCAGGACCTATTGATACCTATTGTAAGGTATCTTCTTCTTAAGAATGCTTTTGTATATATGATAAGGACGTAAACCAAACTACCAGGAACAGTATACGTTATTAGTCAGTGATTTATTAAAGTAACTAGACGTGAATCGATATTGTTATTGTTATTAGATCTCATCAGCACGCTATAGGCAGTTTCGATAATCAAAGTTATGACAGTATATCGCCACATTCTGATATTGGCTGTTAACTAAAGTAAATCATATGAAATGTATACTCCAATTTCACATTATCAACCTAATGTTTATGAAAATAAATCATGCTTTTGTTTATTAATCACTATAATTGAATCTTAACCAGTTCAATAAATTTACCTTTTCTTCTTTAGTTTCTCCATCTCGTTTGACGATACCTTGTTCTTCTCTTTTTCGTTGTTCTTCTTTTAATCGTTCCGCTTTTCTCCATTTAGCTCTTCTATTTTGAAACCACACCTGAAAAGAGTAATTGTAATTTGTGATATCCATCTGAATTTAATTTGCATATGCGTGGTGTGCTAAGTTAAAATCTTTACGAATGCCTTTACCTAAAATCTTAACCATTCTCGTATTTGTTGCTCAAATAATAATAGTTCATACATTAGGATGTCTTTCGAAGTTGGACTCAAAAATAACAACAGTTGGGGCAACGGGCCAATACAACGTACGATTTGGTCTTTAAAATACACAGGTCTTGTATCTTTTAAAATTATTAACAAAAGTTGAGTCAAAATACTCTTTAGTTGCAAGTTCTGTTTTTGTTTATTGCAGACGTTTTATGGGGAAAATTGAAAATTGAAGGGAAATTCACATTTAAAAATTAGCAAGCAATATATAACTTAAATGCCTTTCTAAATATTCTGCTAATACTAAATATTACTAAGTACATATACATAAATTGTGACAAACGAACAGACAACATATCTTAATCTTTGCAATTTAGCTACAAAACTGCAAGACATTTTTTTATTTCAATAAACATTAATATGCGACGTATTAATTTTGCAATCATCAAATACCAAAATACAAAAGTTTTTGTTAATTTTTTTATTACAATTCGTTAATTTAGATTTAAGATGCTTTTCCATTGAAATTCTACAGTTCTAACAAAATTTACTGTTTTATTTAACTATTAATCGTCATGTAATTGATACCGTTTCAAACTGAAATATTTAAAATTGCCGCCATAAAAACCACTATCGTAATTTTTAATTTTACTCGTTTAATTTCAAGCAGAATTCAAAAGCAAATAGTAAATCCTGCTAAGGACATATTGGAGAATTGTAAACGAAGCAAAATTTATTATCTCTTATTATTTAAAAATTTTAAGTAAAAAAAACTGTATCCGTTTATGCGTTATAACAAGTACATCTATGAAACGGTTGACAGTCAGTGTTGATCGGTATGCCAAACAGGTAGTGCGGTGTACTCACGTGGGGCAATGAAATTCCATAAAAGATATACTTTACTTATTTCTACAGGTTAGTGTATAATAAATTTTTGAATTCTCCTGCTATACTTATATTCTAGCAGTCATATTGTACAATTTCTGTTCTATTAATAAAACAAGAAGCAACAGAAATCTCTGTATCAGTGTTCGCCGGCCATTATGCTTTTTTTATTATTTACGTTTACATGTGTATTAAATACGTTGACAATGGGCAGATATTTAACTGTTTCGGTCACGATATTTGTAACATTTTGTTTTGTATTTCGTATAGTACTATAATTAATTTATATTATAGTTCGTTAGAGCACGTATTAGACTTCATATTAATTATATAAAAATGCAATAGCCTAACCTCTATACAAACTGACAACCATTGCCTCGTACTTGCATCGAAAAGATTAGTTTTTATGTTGAAGTGACTTTTGTAATGTATTTTTGACTAGAAAAAGTAATACATAAATATCTACTGCATGCGGAGTCAGTTCTTAAAACTAGTGTTTATCAATTATCCTGTAGGTACGGTAATTAATCCTGACAAGGAATAATACCGTATAGTACAAAGAGATTTATAAAGAATGGAACAGATAAACTGCAGATAATAAAAATCAAAGTAAAATAATTCAGTTACTTAGGAAAATGTTTAGACTTATGTGGTGCGTAATCTTAAAAAACTACAGTAGATAAATTAATCAAATTTTCTTATCGATGATGGGGTGTTATAAATCATGTGTTTAGTTTCAAACAACACTTATTAGATTCATTTGTATGTATGCAAATATGATCTTTGAAAAGTTGGGGTAGGTACATAATATTGAGGAGATTCGTAATGGTATTGCCTTCCCAACGTTAGATGACGCCACGAATTCCGTATTGCTCATATTTTGCTTTTCTGATGTTAGCGGGACGTTAGCTACACTTAATCGTATTTTTTTTTCATAGCACATGCCTAATAGGTACTTACCTATTCTATTATTGTAAGACTAAACAGCGAAAAACAATTTATAGTTTAAAAAACTAAAAACTAAAAGCCAAAAATAAAACTAAAAAGTTAGTAATTATTACATTCAATAGTGTTAGGCCTCTTTAATACAAACCAAATCAAAATTCTCTATAAAAAATCGCTTAAAAATGTTACTGTAAACGCAATGTGGGAACACAAAATCTATTTATTTTTCATTGATACTTCACAACGTATCCAAATTCATAGTATATCCTAATTGTGTGCATATTGAGAATGTTCGGTACATTTGATTTCTTTTGGTTTTGATGATACTTTAGCGAGTTTGTAGAAATCCCTTGAATTTTTTGATGCGTCCTGCATGAAAGGACAAGTAAGTACTTGATAACATATCAAGGTGCTGAGGCAGGCAGAGAGCTCAATAAGGAAAGCAGTCCCGATATATCGGCACGGACGGCAACCTTAAACACCTAAAAAGCTTCAGGGACAGTTATGATAAGTATTTTCCAAATGAGTACCAGAACGATTGATAAATGCTAGTCAAGGAGTTTATCCGACAACCAATCAATTTGCGCTTTGTTCGCGACCCTCGCGCGTTGAGACGAGAGTTATATGTAGCGTTGCGGCGGACGTCTGCACCGCCGGCCGACCGATCTTCAAATAGTTCCTCTAAAATGACGTCCGATTGACATGAGAAATGGAACCCGCGATTTCATATGTAACACGATACCCCCATAAGGCTGAAACGCGCAACCCCGGGGACTGACTACGGTTTACGACCCCGTCCATCACCATCTCCGCTACCAATGTAATCGAATTTTTTGTTTGCCCGATGCTGTCCGTCTTTTTGAAAGAGTTGATTCGATTGCCACAAATAATTTCGTTACTTGTTAGCGGAATAATGATAATCTAATTGTTCTCGGGCCAATAGAGGTCCATCGGAAACGAGCGGACTTTTCCGACTCCCAAAGCCCCCTCCCCCCAGCCCCTTCCAACCACTCGTATCTCCACCGCAATCATCTCTTCCTCTTTCCATTCCCTCACCATCGTCTTCCTCTTTGATGAAAACATAATTCGGTTGATCCTCGTTTAATATTCCCTTTGTAAACGATTTCGAAAGCGAATTATACAACTAACGAATTTAATGGCGATTAAGGATATTAGCGCTCCATATCGGTGACTCTTAAAACTAAGGGAACAGAAGCGCCTGCGAAATATCGCCCGAAAGAAAAATAAAAACTAAAATTATAATGTGCTGTAATACAGTACGTATATATACTCAGTGCTTCCTCTTTTTATTTGACCATAAAAGGCCTTTCCGTACGGGTACCTCTGATTACCTTCGAATAGGAACAAACCGGAGGGTTTTCCCCTCGTGAGAATGCTTTCTAATTGGTCTTATCCCAGACCGTTTTCGCTCTCAGACAATGACAAAAACAACAATAGCAATAACAACTGTCGATTAAGTGCCTACGACATGAGAGAGCACTAAACGTAATTTGCTCACGCGCGCACTAGCGCACGCGCGTCATCCCGCCTCTATTTCTATTTCCGGCACGACAAAGGAACAAAAATATTTGGGCAAAACAGAAGGACAGAAACAAAGGAGGCGCGTCCCAATTAGGGTAACAATGGTGCTTATGGACTGGCGGGGACCCGCTGTTGTCGGAACCGTCATCGGGGCCACGTGAAGCACCATTGATGACGACCTTTGCTTGCTTAGATAATGGGAACGAATGCGAAAAGTAAGACGAGGGAATTGTGCAGTTTTAATAATTGACGGTGTATTAACGCTGTCAGTGGATTTAAAGGGGCACACGTGCACAAAATGACAATTTAATAATAATAATGATGATGATCGCTTTTTTACGGAAGGGCGTAAGCTAAGCGACACTGTAAAATATTATAATATAGATTGCTACTGAAATTAAAGCAGAATGTTCTTCTCCGAGAGTACTATTATGAAGAAAGGAGAAGATAACCAGAGTAGACAATGAATTCCATGTGAATCTGAGTTATTTTGTTATTTTAATCCATGTCGATCAGTGTAAAAGTAATTAGATAGTAGAAAATACCACAAATGGCGCGGTAAACGCCATCTCTAGTACGATGCTACATTTTAGGATTACGTATGCTCCAACAAGGTCCACTTAAATATATGGATATCTACTTGCTGAAACGAGTCCCGGCGTAGCTAACCTCAACGTAATAGACACGTTACCATAATCGAATTCGAGTGGACCTTGTTGGAGCATACGTAATCCTAAAATGTAGCATCGTACTACAGATGGCGTTTACCGCGCCATTTGTGGTATTTTCTAAAACGCACTTTTAAGACAGCAGGTAAAAGTTGGTCTGTGTTCTGTCGAAGCTGTCTGCGACACGCTGATGAGATCCAAAAAGATCGAAATCGCGATCCGCGTCTGGCAGTTTCGACAGGATACAGACCACTTCGAATTATTTTATTATATTTTATTAATTAGATAGTAATTACTATGGCAACGTTGTCTGTATGCGAAAGGTTTCTAGTAATCTATAGATATGACGTGGTTCGTCTGCCCATGCTATGTCATTCTTGGAGATTACCATAAGGCGTAACTACAAAAACTTCTTTATATGTTGAATGTTACCTACTTGAGTTTATACGAGAACCATTATATGTAACTACGAATAAAGTTTCAAAAACCACAAAGAGGCTTTTATCTTTTCTGAAAAACAGGAAAGAAGGTACCTATTTGGTATGTTTAGATGACGAACTCAAAATTATCCTCAGGATTGCTCTAGCGTCTAGTACATTGGAAGTTCAACATATTTCATTCTAAAAACCGAAGAAGCTATTAATATCATTTTGATGTTGAAGGTAAATCGGTATGCTGGACAATTGTGAAGTCAAATATGAACACCCTTCCAGTTCAATCCATTTTAGTAAATTCTAGCTGATCATGAGAGCAATTCTAGATACAGAGACATTCAAGAACATTCTAGATGAGGACAACCCTAAATACAATGAAAAGCATTCTTACTTATTCTAAACGGGTGCTTATGTCC